CGGCGGGTGGCATAAACGAGCCTCAGGAATGCCCGTACTGCCGTCGCAACTTCTCATGCTACTACTCCCTGAAGCGTCATTTCCAGGATAAGCACGAGCAATCGGACACCCTCTACGTTTGCGAGTTCTGCAACCGTAGGTATCGCACGAAGAACTCACTCACGACGCACAAGAGCCTGCAGCATCGTGGTTCCAGCGGTATGCTCAAGAGGCTGCTGAGGAACACGACGATTAAGAACGTTATAGGCAGCATGCAACAGGCTCAGATGCAGCAGCAGCCGCAATGAAAATGTCGGAACCGTCTTACAGTCTCCCCGTCCCGGACTCTCTGCATCGTCATACTCATCATTATCGTCAAGGTTCTCGTCTTCATGCGATTTTTCGTCGCTCATCGTCACCCATGCGCGATCGGTCATCGATCTTCGCGGACCAAGACACGCTGCGACGCATCTGGATGCATCAGGGAGCAACGAAACGCGCGTTTCCTGCTTACCGAGCTGATACACGTTCGAAAACAGAGGTCGAGTAAATCGAAGAACGAGTTCGAAGGTACGAAGCGCGTGGATCGTGGACGAAAGAAAAGGCTCACCTCGAATACCACTAATTGGACGATCGTCGAAAGGATCGGCTTCTCTTTGCCGGTTTCCCCCCATGCTCTTCCATCGGGGAGTTGCGCGATCGGCGCCCTCCTCCACGTTCCGTATTTCGTCATTTTGTAGTTCTCCTCGAGTCAAGACTGCGATTAATCCAAAGAAGAAAGAAGAGAATCGACTGAGACGTAGTTTTGAGAAAATTTTCGGCTGATTGAAGGTTGTCGTTGCGCGCGGGCTGAGAATACATTCCATTGCGTCGGATTCCAGCCACGCCGAGGCTTGGACCGATTTTAAAGAGATCTCGAATGCGACTAACGCTTTGAAACGTTCTATCAAGGGACTGGTCGTCAAGGGTCATGACACCGGACAACGTTCCCACAGGCAAATATCAATTCTGGAAAAAACGAGAACGTAGAAGTCGGTACGACGACGTGCAAGTAGAACAGACCGGAATAGTCAGACGTAGAGTGGAATGGTAGATATCTGTTTTTGAAGCGCGGTATTGCCTGTTCGGTGCGTTTGTTTGGTCGAGTCCCTAACAGTCCCACGAATCATGTCAATTTTCAAATATCAGCTTGTCAGCGGTTACCGTGCTAGACAAGATCTGTTCGGTCGTTTTGAAGGTGGGAGGGTTTTGAAACGGCGATCTCGAATCGCGCGGCAGGAAAGCACGGAGAATGCAAGAGCAGCGAAGAACGGAGATGGTGATTGAGCGAAGAATATGGTGAAGAAATTGCGTGAATAGAGAGTGCGTGGATTATGCTTGTACGTCTCTGTCGCTAGTTTAGGCGCGCGCATATAAACGAGCAAGAGTTTCGTTGTTGGCGTGAAGGTTTACGAGTGTTTGGGAATCGTAGATCGAGGATCTTAGGCCTAAGTGAAAATCAATTAAAAAGTCTACAAATATGTGCTCAAATTTCGGAAATCGGGAAAGAGAAGTAAACGCCGCTAATTGAAAGAAAAGCGACAAGAAACGGTCAGTTTGTGGTGGTGGTGGGTGGGGATGGAAAGAGTTTGGGGTTGCCAGGAAAAGGGCGGAAGGAGTATAGCGAATTAACGAAGTAAGTCGAGCGGAGCAGGATAAAAAGGATTGGATAAAGAGAGGAAAATTTCGCGTGGAGACGAAGGAATAGATGACGGCGAGTGGGAGGGAGGGAGGGAGGGAGGGAGGGATGGAGGAGAGTCGTTAGAAAAGTGCAAGTAGAAGTTAGATATGGGCTCTTAAACGTGTACAGGTCCGTCGTGCGCGCAAATTACAGACTATATTTTTAACTCTTTAAAAGTAATATTTTGAACTGTACATATATTATATTCGTACGATATTGATAACGATGATATTCTCTTGTTCAGGTTTTATAAGAATGGGGAACGAATGGGAAGAAATGAAAAACGGAGTTAGTTCGACGTAGATAGAACCCACGGCGGGCAGGGCAGTGCAGGCTCTCGCGTCTTCTCTAATTTCGTTTCGTTCGCGTTTCACGCGTTCTAATTAGCGAATGTGCAATATTACGAGTAAGGGGGTAAATTTTATGGGATACGGTTCTGGCTCGTCTTGGAAAACGACGCAACGTGCACTCCGGCGCTCTCCATTCAAGGCGACCAACTTCTTTCCGTCTCGATCTTTTTCGTTTTTTCTCTTCGTTTGGTCGTGCCGTTCGAACGAGAAAGGAATCTAGAAAAAGACAGAGGGGATCTAATTAGGCCAAAGAAAAGATACACGGGGTGGGGTGGGGATGGAAACGATGAAAAGCAGTGTGGCGTACGAGGAACGATTTGTGCGAGATTGTCGAACACTGCCCTGTTCTTTTAAATCTTCGACACGCATCCATGCTATGTTAAAAAATAAAATAACAAACGAACGTACAAGCGAAAAACGGAATCCCTAAAAAAAGTTGTTCGTGCAACGTATTCAGGTTTTAGAACTCAGTGTAAAAAAGAAGAAAGAAAAAAAAAAGAGAAAACATGACGTTTTATCATGTATAAGATGGTTACAAAGGGAGAAACAAAAACAAACAAAAGAAATGTCATTATAACTAACGAGCAAGTACAAATTATCGAAGGAAAATGATAAAACAAATTACGTCTACGTCTAATTCTTAGGTTCCGTAGTAATGGGGGAATAATGAAAAGAGGGAAATATTTAGCGAGACGCGAGGAATAGAGTAAATTGCACGCGTCCTTTCGGGTTTTAGTGACGGTAGCGCGCAAGGGAAAAAGAAGAAGCAAAAAAGAAACGAACGAATAGAAAAGAAAAAGATGGAAATTATAGGACGAGAGAACAAGTTTTCCAAACATATCTTCGAAACGAGAAGTATACCGTGAATGAGAAATACGATTTTAGATTTAGGTGTCTTCCGAAGATGGAAGTTTTTAAAATAATTACGTATACATTTGTAGAGTTTAAAGAGGGGAGAGGTTTTTCGGCGGCCGGTCAAAGCATAATGTGGAGAGAGAGAGGGAGAGAGAGAGAGAGAGAGAGAGAGAGAGAGAGAGAGTGAGAGAGTGAGAGAATGAAAGAAAAACAAAGAAGAAGATGAAACGTTCCTTTCGCGCAAAAGGAGGCGGGATTTACAATGGGCGTCTTTGCTTTCCTAAAATTTCGTTTCGACTCGGGAAAAGCTTAAAGATAATTCGTTAGTGAAAATTATCCTAGTCATTTTGGAAACTTTTTATAATTCTGTGATATATCGAACGCGAAGTATCAAGATGTATTTGGCGCTACAAAATAAAAAGGGGAACAAAGAATTGGGAGGGTTAAAAAAAAAAAGAGAAAAAAAACACGGGGAGGGAGGAAAAAACTATTACGTTCCACATTATGATTGCCGGCGTGTGTGCAAATTGCATATATATTACATAATTGGTTAATTGATATCGGGAAATTCTGTGATGTCCTTCAGTTGGGTATACTAGATCGAGAAATATTAGAGATATATGAAGAAAACAAGAAGTATACGGAATTAGGTCGATGTTCGGTGTTGTGTAAGTTAATATTTGTAAAGGAAAAAAGGAGAAAAGCCGAGACTTTTAATACCGAGAAGATTAAAATCAGATGCTGCCGGGACTCTCGCGATTGTCCAAACGACCGCTGATCCGCTTGGAAATAAAAAAAGAAAGAAAAGAATTCGTCTGAGGGAAACGGGGGAAGAACTGATAGCGCATCGTTGGAAAATTTGCTGGGAAAACCCGTCTGTAGAAAAAAGTGTCGGGCTTATTGGCTCGGAATTAAGAATCGGTACGATACCAAAGTGGATTTGACTGTTAGTGCGATTATTTTACTTGTTTCTTTTTGTTTTCTGTTTTTAAGCGAGACCAAAGGCTTTTAATCGGGTTTCCCGACGATGCCGCGCGAAATATACCGCGTTCCCTGTGATCAGCTGTCGTCGAGAAATCGAGGGAAACGCAGTGTCTGGGTATTTAACATATCTCTTCAGGGTACTCGACCCACTGTACGCTGACACGGTGTTGAATCGAAAATCTTAAAAATAGAAAAAAAAAATTACAAAAAAAAAAGAAGAAGAAGAAGAAGAAGTAATAAGTATATCATACACACACAAAATCTATTCCAATGTGCCAACGTCTTCGAACTAAAGAAAAAAAGAAAAAAAAAATACAAGGAACTTTAGGTCTTCTACTATTTACACGAGAATCGAGAAAAGGATAGTAGTTAGCCGCGCGTCGCATCTTCTTATCGAGAAACGAATATTACCAACATTATTACTACCACTAATCGTTTTTAGGATTTAAAGCGAATATTATACAAGATAATATCGAAGAACTTTTTCGAACTTTAATGCATGGATTTTCGTCTCGTATGCTATTTAAGGGAAGAAACGTAAGGAGTTCTAAATGGAGAAAAAGAAAAGAGCGGAAGAGTGGGAGAAGAAGACGGTGAAACAGAAAATGAGAGAATGGGTGTGAAAGAAGGAACGAAAGGGTGGGAGAGAAAGAGCGGGTGTGAGAGGTAAGAAAGAAAATATTTTAAACTATCTATTTTTATTTGCATTCTAATATCTCGTGCGTGTAAATATTATATATCGATAAGCAACGTGTACCTCTGACGTGAATTGCAGAGGAAAAGGATATTGTAAATGGTACCGGCATAGGCATTATATCATATTGGCAATGGACTGCGATCGTATGAACTGAACGTTGGAAAGGCTTTGCGTCCCTGCGCGGACGATATGTGGTTATTGTTGTCTCAAGAGAAAAAAACGCTGTTTGTATCATGCACTTCCTTTTTTTCTTGTCGACCGTGAATCGCAATCGACGAAACAAACACAACCGACTTGTCTTCTGCAGAATTTTTATACTGTGTGAACCCTGACTACCGAATAACCGGATTTATTGTAAAGGAAAGCTCGTGGAACTTGCACGTGGCGAGTACAAATCATTGTAGTTACGAATCGTTTTACGATTCGCCACGCCACGCCAAGTTCGACGAATTTTTCGCAACAACCATACGTAGATTCTAGCTTCCGTTTGAACCGTTAGATCCGTTGAACTTCATACGCAAACGTTAGTAGAGGTTTTTTATGTTAGTTGTCACTCTTTTTCATTTTCGTTTAATCAACGAGTTGTATCGCATCTGAGCCAGCAGCTCAAGTGCTCAAGTTAATTTCCTGGCGCTGTGACGAAATACTTTGATACGAGAATTTACTTTCGAGAAGGCTGATTTTTATAATTTTTAAACGCGGACGTTTTAAATTAAGGAGTGAAATTTATTTTTACTAATTTCCAGACTTTTTTTGTAATCCCTACCGTTTAGGGAGAAATCGACTGATTAGGCTGTTTTTTTTCGATTGGTTTAAACTTTTTCTTGATCATGTGATATTGTCTTACCAAAGAGCATCGGGAAATTGTGAAAACTTCTCGGACTTTCGATCGATACCCACCTCGAGCATGTACAATCCGAAGATACGATGAAACTTTATCGATTTTCGATCGATGTTTTCCCTGTCTTTTCGGACAGTCGCAAGATCGTTCTATAAAGTATTTATACATTAGCGAGCTTGCGAATTTTTCCTCTTAAAGAAGGTAAACGATAGTTTCGAGGGTCTGAGATATCGCGTAAGTTCGAGAAAGCGTCGCGACTTATTATTATTCTTGGTACGAAAATTCTTCGGTTTCGGTTGAAAAAGAAACGAAATTTTTGTATGATTTTCAAAAGGGGGATCAAAAACAAAAAAGTGGAACTACGAAGGGAAAAGAAACGAAAAGTATAAAGAAACGCATCTTCGAATCGAAAATTTAAACAAATTGCTTAGGGATGTATGATTATGATGAATTGATAGAAAAAAAAAGAAGAAATGAGCGAAAAAAATAACGTCGAGCATAGGAGAAAGACTACTTAGATTTATTTTTATTATGTCTTCAAAAAGACTTTAAATATAATATTTATATTGTGCCATAATTAATATTAACAAAACCTTAAGTATAAATTAATTGTTACGAAAGTTTTTAAATTTATCGGAAGGGGAAAATTGCAAAAACATAAAAAAATGAATAAGATGATGAAAAGATATCTCTACTGTCTATCGATAATTAACTGTACGATAGTTATTAAGAAAAGAAGTTACGTCATTTTTAAGTGAATACTGCATTTACAAGAGAAGCTAGGATTAAAGATAACAACGGTTGATCACCTCCGCTCATCATGTAACACTAATACGATTCGTGTAGCGTGCGCCCCTTTTGTCATTCCTATCACGAGAAACACACCGTAACACACACACAAAAAAAAAAGAAAAAAAATGCGACAAAGAGAAAAGAAACAGAAAACTAGCGTAAAGAAAAAACTGAATGACTCCCGCCGTTTTTCAGCGTAAGAAATAACGCATCAGTTTGTTCTTGCCAAATTTGCGAAACGCCCCACTCCTTTCGATGCGTGCGACAGAAGCAACCGAGAATCATCGACTGGTTTCTTGGCGATATTTTTCTGGGTCTTATTTATTCATAAGTTTCTTCATCAACCGTCCCGGATGTAAAAGCACGACGAAAGAAACGGGTCGATGATATCATCAGGGCCGACGTCGAGCGAAAAGGGCAATGCGTATGCGAAAGAAATCGCGATGGAAGTAGAACGTGCCGTGTAACGCGATTCGTATCGAAGGAACGAACAGAAATTCTCAACGGTGACGAACGCGTCGCCTTTATGGATATCAGAAATGCAAAACGATATTCGGTGAGACATAGAATTTTTTCAAAGAAAATACTATCTGCGTTGGTAACTGGGAAAGTCGAGGGAGGTGAGCATTTTCTTCATCGTTGACAACTCTCCTTCTGTTCGTTCCTTCAATGGCGCATACTTTTGCAACTCGGTCTGCAACACGCAACACGGAAACGGCATCGAATATCATCGATTCATTTGATTCTACATATCGTCTCTGTGAGTGTATTCTCATATAGATGCAGATCCTCGTGTCATTTCGATATCATCGGAACCCCACATTTTACCTTCTGTTCCGCGTATTATCACAGAAATTCTGTCTATCGTGTCTTTTTGCCTGTTCAACGTTATCAGTGATGTTTATTATCGGTATGACTACTACGAACATTAAAAAATCAATCGATTACCAGGGATAGTTCAATCATTAGTTAGCTCGCGAAGAGAAGAAGAAGAAAAAAAAAAAACGTAAGAACGATGTACGATATATTTGACGAGGAGTCGATGGCACGTTATGTTAACTTTTTATGTACATAAATATATATATGCAGATATGTACGTATACATACATAACACGCATAAAATATTATATAGGCCTATTTTGTAAGGTTTCTCCTTGGTTTTATTTTTATGTTAATCTTTTTTCCGATTTGTTACAGCGATTTTTTTTCGAGAGTGATTGTTTCAACGCGTTAAGGAGAACTTACTGGATACTTATTATTATTATTATTATTATTATTATTATTATTATTATTAATTATTATTATCATTATCACAATTATTGCTATTATTATTATATTACTCATTGATTATTGCTATTATTATTATTATTACTCTTGCAATTATTGTAATAATAATTCTTAGCACTAGACTTATTATTTTTATTATTGATTCTGTCGCGGTTACGATCGTTCAGATTTTGTTTCTTTCCTGTTTTTTTTTTTTTTTTTAAATGTCGATCGATCGCGATGTGTGCGCGCACCGTGTTGCGTAAGAAACACGGGACAAGCTCTGCGTCGCGTTAAACTTTCAGACCTGTTGCGAATCGCCCACACATCGTGAACACACGTTATCGTTTTCTCGCGCTTTTTCAGTTTCTTTATTGTTTTCATTAGCACTTTTTTTTTACTTCTTCCTTGTCACGAATCACGAAGCGTCGATGGTTTCCATCCGTTTATAAGATTAATTTTAGTCCCGTAATTTACAAATACGAAGCATAAATTATTAAGAGATAGACCGGGTCGTCGAGCGCAAAAGGATCCACGTGTTGCGAGCATCTATATAGAGAAAGTGATACTTTATACTATTTTCCTCGGTTCGAATCTTCTTTTCGTTTTCCGGAACGAATCACGTGGTCGGCACACTGTGTGTCGCCAAAAGCGAATTTTCGACTCACCGTTCACGATTGGTCATAGTTATTGTGCACTCTCATCGAGATGTATGCCGTATTATTCGTCTTATGCTCGATTTTTAATCTGTCATTTCAACTTCCGTCGCCTTTCACTCGGAGCATGACCTAGAGAAAAAGAAAAACGAACAAAAAACAAAAAAAAAAAAATAAAAAATAGGAGAGAGAAAAACAGTAACGCAGAAAGAAATCTTTATGGAAGGCAAAGTAAAATGAAAGAAAGAAAAAAAAAAAAATGATTCGCGACGTTGTGGAATCTTTCGTGGACAATCACGGCCCGACTATAATTGTAATTGTAAACAAAGTGCAACACGCTGCCTTGCTGAACAGTACAAGTACAAAACGAATACAAATACATAAAACATGTCTTCGATTTAATGGATGGAAATGATTCCGGTAGTTAAGATATCAAAAGTACGAGAGAGAAAAAAAAAGAGAAAAAAAAATGATTTAAAAAAAAATAAGATGAAGAGGAAGAACAAAGCGTTTTAATCGTAGGGAATGGAAGAGAAAACGAGCCTCCGTTGTAAGCAACGCCGCTGTTCGTCGAGCGTGTAGGAAGAGAGAAATGCGACACGGCGTGCGTTCGTTCAGAAATACCTCAGTTGCCGTGGCCTCAGACATACAAACGCGCATACGCTCGTTTTAACACGCGTCTTACCTTATTATCCGTCGTTATATCAGTCGCTGAGAGGCTTTCTTGTACATTTTTTACTACTTCCAACATGAACGACACAATCGAAAGCCCAAAGCAGCAGCCCTACAGAAAATTCACTGTAACCCAGCCGAGTGTGTCTTTCCTTTCGTTTCTCGTTTCGTTTCCAACGAGGAAGATGAATGAAAATCAAAGTAGAAAGGAAAGACATCGTTCGTAAGGATATTCGATCGGGCGTCGAACTGTGAGACGCGTAAAAATCGCTAATGGTACGTTAGTTCAAAGCAAGACACGTCACTGCCAAACGAAAAAAAAAAGAAAAAAAAAGAAAGAAAGAGTTTACGCGAGGAGAGCCTCCGTTGAATAGTCGAGACACAAGAGTCACGGAAATGGAAACGTTCCGAGTCTGAGGCCCGGCAATAACAGATTCTCATCTAAGCTACAATAGTTGTTGTACTTACTTGTCTTCTATTTTGTCACTACATTGTCTGGGTATTAATGCGAGCAGGGTGACGCGCGTCGTTCCTCGTTCGATCAGGTCGCTGGTCGATTCACAGATAGAACACGAAGAAATGAAAACTGTCAACGTAACCGTGAAAGAACAACGCGAATATTCACGATCGAAAATCGCGGGAAATTCATCGAGAAAGAATGAAGGAAAGTCGTAGGTGTATGGGAACGTCGCGCGTATACCGCGAGCGCGCAACAGTCGCCGTATTATTATATTTTACAGAATGCAAAGTATAGATATATAAATAAATGAATGAATAAATGAAATATATATATTGTTCCGTTATCGCCGTTATACCATCCGTGTAACATAACATTGCGAATAAATTTGCAGTTTATTAATCGACGAAAAAAAAAAAATAATAAAAAATAATACAATTCTTCAGTGTGCTCCGTAAACGATTAACGAGCTTCTTTTTCCACATATTAATGATATTATAATATATCGCGTAATGCATAAATCTATATATATATATAAATGAATAGATATATTATATATATATATAAACGTATTCGATTGAATTCTCCGCCCGGTTGTTTCGCCGTCTGTGGATGCAAACCCCGGGAAACCTTCGTTTCCTGATTATCATTATAACAAATGTACCTCTTGTCTTTCTTGCGTAGAAAAAGAAAAAAAAGATAATGACGAAGGAAGAGAAGGAAGAACGCGACGGGAACGGAAAGGGAAGATGGGGAAAAAAATAGGGAAGATAATGAAGAAGAGCGAAGACGATGAAGAAACCGATCGATCGGTGATCAATGTGTATTTATCGTACGTAGTATAGTATATATGAAATTTCGGCGGAGGGACGCTTCGCTCGTAAACTGCGCTCCTGTGAATTTTTTCGCTGTAAAACGGGATTATTAACTAGGGGATATTATTTCGAACGCGAGACCGGTTCAACGAACTTGCCGCAATCGAGCATTCCACGTGTGTTGACGACGGACGAGAAACGGAGGATAAACTGAGGCGTTCTAGCTAAAAAACAAAAGAGAAAAAAAAAAGAAGAAGAATGAATGCAATTATCGATCGGGGGACTAGGCGAAGCCGCGTCTGATCGATCGTGACTCAAATCGAAAAGAAGCGGTGAACGGAGAACAGAGAAAAAGAAATGATATATATAGTTCAATATATACATATATATACAAGAAATTATATATATATATATGGCGGATAATGTCGAAATATTTTCTAATGCGCGTCGCGTCTTTAGGCTATTATTACATTAATTGTAAGACATTGCAATTAATTAATATATGTATGTAAGCGTTCATTCGTATTTTTCGATGCAGTAAACAAAAAAATGGAATTATTATTGTCTTTATTATCATTGATTGATTAATTGATTATTGATTATTATTGATTATTATTATTATCTATTAATTATTATTATTATTATTATTATTATTATTAATTATTATTATTATATAAAAATTCAATAATAGTTGTTGGTGTAATATTATGAAATAAATCTTTAACGATAGCAAAAGAGAACCTTAATCACGCTCTAATCTAATTTTTCAATCACTTCACTCTCCTCACCTTCGTTCCACCTGTTACCGCCTGCGAGTTTCGCAAGTACGCAAGTTCGCGTTTTCCTGTCTGCGTAATTTCTTTATTAACGACTTCCGTGAAATATGGGACTCGTAAGAGAAAGAATAACATTTCTGATAGATGATGTTACACTGCCGGTTCTCGATCGGAGCGTAGAAATAGAAAAGCCCATCTCGATAAATCACCGATCAATAAAATTGCACACGATGAGCCGCGCAACCAGTGACGCACATGAGGGGTGCAGCGCGCAGCAGATGCAATTTATCTCCGAGTCCCATAGTGAAATACGTAAAGAACAACGCGCGCTTGGCAATTCTGAAATAGCATTACGTTACGTATCCCGCTCGCGAAAGAACGGAACGGTGATCGAATATAGTCGGAAAGGTAATTAAATATTGTCGAAAAGAGATTAATCTACGAAACAGAGGAAACAATGGAGACTGAATAACGAAATCTAATAGGAAAAATCGATTTCTCCCGATGGCGCATTCCGTACGTGGCGATAAAATATGGAGAAAGAAAAGGACACCGTTGTGCGTGGGAGAAGCGGGTTAGAGGAAAATGAATATTTCATATACACAGGCAGGCAATTGCATCGTTGGTTTTCTCTACCTTGAGGATAGGACCTTCGTAATTTTCATCATACGTCATGTCACGAATACTAACATACACCGGTGACTGATTAAGTGCAGCTTGTTAATTAAGGGGTACAACGCGATCCCCAGCGGCTCATTTATGGGTCACGTACGCGTGATTTTCCTCTTTTACACGCTGAGTTCTGTTAATTAAGAAAAGAATTCCTCATTATATTGCCCAGTTAACATTCTTATTACCTTGAAAGACGAGGAGGCTTCGAATTAAGAAAAAAAGAGGAACGAAGAATACGACGACGTAATGACGCAAAACTGTCATTTTCCTATGCAAAGGGATAGTTTCGATGATCTATAGTATTAGAAAATACGTCAATATATCATTATATTAAGGTATTACATAAGAGCGTATATATTCTTATATTGGAAATTAAAAACTAATTCGATTAGTATATAAAGAAACGTGTGATTCAATTCAAAGAAAATGATCGTGAAACTTTTTAAACATGCTCGTTGTTTTATAAATCGTTCGTTCTGAATTATTCGACTTTTTAATAATAAAAATGAAGAATCCGACAACAGTAAAATAAATGACTGCCAAATACATAAACCGAATACAATCGTAAACAGTGATAGATATCGTAGTAGAGACGAACTGCGTAATAGAAACTTCGGTTAAATCAAAACAAAGGACAAAGACGACAGGAACTTTCCAATCAATATGATAGAAGGCTCAGTCGCTCGTCGATCGTCGGACGTATAACAACGTACGATCGTAAACGAGAATCGGATTCCTCGCAAGTCGAAACGAGAATCTAATACGAATAAATTCAAATTGTGCCGTATTCTTTCGTATTTCATTCTGAATCGCGATCGTTCTCTTTCCGAATACTTGCGCGATTATTTCCGCAAGCTGTTCGTTATCTCTCAAATATAAATACATATAAAAGAGAAGGAACAAAGTCAATCGAAGGACTGGCCGTTTAAAGCAGTGTCGATAAAGCTTGGTCGTAAAGTTAGCAAGACGGTAAAAATGCTTGATAAATATTTAAAGAAGCGGTTGAGTATTAGCCGACCATGGACTCATCCTCTTAACCGTTTGCGCGCAATTGAAGCGAAAGAATAATTCCAAGGCTGCTCTTAAAGCATCGAACACGGACTTTCCCAAGGAAACGTGGCTTGTATCCTTCAAGAAAAACCTCGCACCATTAAGAAATGAGCAAAGGGCAAGATATGAACTGTACGAACAGTTATGACACTCTTAGCAACGAGTATCCACATTAGAGAATATAAAACGGAGCACACGCGAGAAACCATGGAAAATCCTTGACAAGTCGGGAAAACAATCGAGGTAACAGGAAGGCGTAGTACATGGTCGGTCGTGGCGGCCTTGGAAATGCGACCTTGGCACTTCTCTGGTCTAGGCGTTCGTAAAGTAGGCGCGGCCCTGGGGTTCGCCGCTATGGCGTCGCGACGAGCGTGCGCGAGGAAGCGTCGAGCTGGTTTCCTCGCTCCACCACAGCTGCTCGGAGACCAGCTAGACGGGATAGCCGGTCAGACGCAACTCAGGCCAGAGCCGCGTCAACGTCCTTCCGTGTACATCCTTCGACGTCCACCCGACGTCTTCTTGTCATCGCGTTTCTTCTCTATATACGTTTCTCTTTTACTCGAATCTTCTTCGTCGTACGTATCGAAGAATCTCTGGAACGTTCCTCGACCAGAATAGATCTTCGTCGGAGTATCTCGCGGGCTGTACACGTAACTTTACCTAGACTAGCGACGAAAGATCAAGACCATCGGTTCGCGGAGAAGAATCGTTCCAGCTGTTCTCAGCTTTTCTGCGTCTCTCGAGGCCGGTCAGGTAGTTTCGTGCGCCCGCGCCTCCTCGCTTATGCACAAACGTGCGTAACGGTATACCGAGTAACGAAACATCGGCGGGAAGGTCC